TTGGTAGAGTTGTCCCAAATTTCTACATTTCTAGAAACTAGCAGAATTAAATTATGTATATTTTTTTTAACTCCTTCCTTAAATGTATGGATATTTGGGAGGAATATTAAATGAAAAGATAAATGTCGTTACTTCAATCACTTACTACCATGACAAACTGAACATCCCCAGACGTGGTCACCAAAATGAAAGTCAGCATTTGTTATCAGGTGCCATGCAGGGGGTGTGGGGCTCCCCAAAGCATAAACAGAAGAAAAGGGTGAATTAAGTAAAGACACTCTAAAAAGAATTTTCTTTAAGTATAGAGGGACAAAGACTACCGAGTAGAGAACTGTTTCTTAGGGGAATTCCATATTTTTCTACAAGAATGTTTATTGTGGAGATTACGTGTTTATATCATGCGGTCGCAGTACCTGTTTGATCATGGCGGCCCCTCCATTTTTTTTTCTGTTTTAGTTAATGACAAAAGTGGCTCAGTGCGCCTTTAACTTCTGTTCATTCTCCTCGTGCTCTTTCCCTCTTGCAGTATTTCCGAGGGAGCCTCTGTCAGAGCCACCAGACCTACTGCCTGAATTATTCAGCTGCTGTCTTCTATCTCGAGAGCCTGAGGCAGAGAGATGACTTTGGAATTTATTTAAAAGTAAAGTACCATTTTCTTTTCTTTTGTAGTTTTCCTGAGACTCTTTGGGTATAAAACATAATGGGAATTATACCCAAATTAACTGGGAAAGAAGAAAAATAAGTGACCAACAATAAATTTTAACTACAAGTCTGCTTTCCTCATAAATACATCATCCACTCACACTTAGGAATTTTAAATGGTGCACATCTGGAAACATTACATTATCTAATATCCCTCCTGAAATGTTGGCTGGGGCTTAAAAATGTTTTATTGGTTCATTGGTTTGTGGTAGAAATTGGTACATTGTAAGGAGAAAATTAGAATAAGAACCTAAGCTTTGTTTGTGACTAGAAGTTTGGCTCTGATGGGATTTGGCCACAGCAAGGTCCTGCTGCACAAAAACTTGGAGCACCATTTACATTGTATTCTATATGAATGGCGCCCCCTAGATTAGATCATAGAGCACAATGTAAATGTTGACCTGCTTTTGGGCAACATGGTGGCTCTGGGTCCCAAAGCATTAGAACAAGGAATCCTTGCTGAAGTCCTTCAGCATTTGCTAATAAGTAAACCTGGAACCAATTTTCCTTGACTTCCCTAGCTCCTTTCACCCCTCCTTTGACATTTCTTTAGTCTGAACTGTACTTTTTTGATAGCATGCCAGGGCCCTTTTGTATGATGCAGAGAAAATGACCCAAGCCTTTCCAGAAAACCAGCTCTTCCTTGCAGCTGCAAGCAGCCCCTGCCAAAGCATACCTCAAAGGCTTGGGAGGAAAAGCTTCCATGGTTCCCAATGACTCTGCTGTGAATCAGTGAGCTTTTGCCATGGCCTCATTGTGCCAGGAAGCCTGGGTGTGGTGTGGATGAGACAAGAGGAATGGTCTTAGGGAAGAGACTCGGCCCTATTTTTGCAGCTTCAACCTTTCAGTGTTTTCTTTGCTACTCGAACTGAAAACTGAAAGCTAATTAGATTTCCAAATGCATAAATAATCATGTTGCAAACATTTTCCATGGACCCTGATGGATTATTCTCTTAGCTAGGTCCCCAAATTGGGGAGAATCCAGGTCCATTTCTCTCTCTTCCAAGCTAAGGGAGAGATTAATTTAACAAGGTCCAGCCACCATTTTCAAATAACTGTGGAAATTCCCATATCAATCGTGACATAGAAGGGTGGTTTACACTAATAAATATACGTAGCATCCGAAAATATCCAGGGAAAGGGAGCAGAAGATACAATGCTGTTGTGATAACACATGAGGCACATGATGCTTTTATAAAGCACAATGCTCTACCAGGCACCCCCCACCCAAAAACATGGTCAAGCTTTGGACAAGGGCAAATTGCTAATCGGGAGGCTAGGACATAAAGGGGAGAAAGTGGAGGGGAGAAGAAGAGAAAGACCTCTGTCTTTCCAAAGAAGAGAATGGAGTGAGCAAAGTAGTAGATTGTGGGCTGTGTATTTGACCCCTCTCCACAACCCAAAATCTTCAGTAAAATAGATATGCACACTCACAAAACATTCGGCATAAGCGGGTTTACAGTGAAAACTAACAGAGGAAGCCAACCAAGGGGCCATGATTGGTTGCATGAAAACAGGAGTCCAGGAGCCAAAGGAAGCCCTTAGAATCTCAGTCTCTGTAAGTTTGTAAATATCGAGGGGAGGGCTTCAGACTTCCGTGGGCCATTGAATTCGTGGGGATTTGAGCCAATTGTACCTAGATCTCCAAATTGCAAGAGCTGACATTTGGGCATAAAGATATCTTTGGGGAAGCAGAGGAACCCTCTTGGAGTGTGCCTAGCCCTTCTGGGAATGACCCTGAAGGGTCTAGGTCATGAAGCAAAGGGGTCAACCTGGGCCTGGACTGAGAATGAAAGGTGGAAGAGAAGGGCTAGCCTGCAGCAAGAAAGAGTGTAAGGGCAGGATCCTTGTCAGTTGATTCGGGCTGCTATAAAAAGTACCACAGATGGGGTGACTTATAAGCAACAGAAATGTATTTCTCACAGTTCTAGAGGCTGGAAGTCTGAGATCAGGGTGCCAGCATGGTTGGGGGCTGGTGAGGGCCCTCTTCTGGGTTACAGACTGTTTTCTCGTTGTACCCTCACATGGCAGAAAGAGAGTAAGAGAGCTCTCTGGAGTTTCTTTTATAAAGACACTAATACCATTTGTGAGGCTCCACCCTCATGACCTAACACCTCCCAAAGTCTCCACCTCCTAATACCATCCCACTGAGGGTTAGGGTTTTATCATATGGATTTGGAGGGAAACAAACTTTCAGTTTGCATCCATCCCTTTATAGCTGAGCTCAGGATGAGTTTGGTGTGAGTGGGAGGTAAGAGAAGAGCCCCTCATAATAGCAACCCACCTCCATGCCTCATGTGTCCCCTGCATAAAAGCCGGGGTTCCTCCGGATCTAGGAAGTGTCACAGTCAAAGAAACAGCCCAGCAAATAAAACAAGCATGAAAGCTATTCTCATGCTTACTTGCATCTCTCAAATACCATTTATGCAACTCTGGTGTATAACCCGTAGCAATATTCACTAAAATGTCTTTTCCTGTTTCCCCAGCACTTGTGTACCCTAGAACTGCCTCTTTCTCTGATCCCCAATGCCAAACTTGCCCTATTCAAAATGGTCTGTCTTTATCCCTCTGTATCATGTACACCAACTTAACCTCTTTAACTTCTATTTCATTTTTTTCTTCATGTTTGGTCATTACTCTGATTCTTTCCCACAAAAGAGAGTCAAGAAATTGACCTGCCAAGTACAAATCTTCCCTTTTTCCTTCTCCCTCCAGTCTTGGTCCTCAGTTCTCCTAACTTTGCATCACAACGAGGATGGGAACAGAGCTGGTGAAACCAAAGATCTCCTCTTCCTGAGGGCCAGGAAGGAGAAGCCAAACGGCAAAGCTGAACTCTCAAATAAGAAGGGTAAACACGGATCGAACTCGTATCCTAATACATCTCATCACTACCACTTACAGAACGTGCATTTTTTAGAGTATTTAATGAATTACAAAGTGGTGTTATAGACGGCTGCCTTTGTTGCTATTTCTGGGAAGGCAAAACATCTGCAGAAGAATTCATTTCTTTGACTTCAGTGTTAGTAATATTCAGTAATACTTCTTAATCACATCTAAGACCCCAATTGCAGACTGGTAGATAGATGCATGCTAAAGATAATTTAATATGGAATTTTCACAAAGTCTAATCCCTGGCTTATAAATTTTCACAGCAGGCTCACAGGTTCATCCTGTCATTGCTGTTTGAAATCTCAAAGAATTTGTCGGGTTCAGGCTTCTTAGTGCCTCGGTAGGAGAGGTGACATTCTGATATGTCTGCTTTTGCCTTCCCCAGTGGTTTGAGCAAAATGAACGGTGCAGACGGCTTCACCTGCCTGAGCTACTAGTGGCCCCACTGCACAGGCTGACTCGATATCCCTTGTTGCTGAAGAACATCTGGAAAAGGAGTACAGACTCTACTGAGAAAATCATGATCTACTCCATCAAGGAAAAGGTGGAAAAGTCAATCCGTAAGTCCCTGAGATAAGTGAGCTTATTACACAGTTGGGGTCCTCTGGCTCCTAGGAATGATGTGCACTTCCACCCTAGGAGATAATTCCATTGACCTGAGGTCATGGCTCTCGGAAACATGGGTTCGAGTCTGAGCTCATTGTAAATCAAGCACACAGGACAATGGGCTCCGGTCACATCCTGGTGGACCTATGAGAACTCTAACAGCAAGTTTACACAGGACGTGACTCTGTCTCCAAGGGTTTCAGAAATGATTTCAGGCAGGAAAAGTTCAACTTCCCAGATGATTGAAAATACTTTGTTTTTAACATTTATATTAAACCCACGCACAGAGCAAATGAGAGTAAACACCACCAGGATCCTATCCAGAGGATAAATTACTATTTATCATTTTCTAGGTCACTGAAATCCAGGGCCAATATAAAAATAATACCAACTGCAATCTTTAGAACTGAAATTTAGGGATGGAAACTGAGTAAGTCCTATAAATGACTTAATTTTATGTGTGTAGCTTAGTATAATTGAAATTTAAATAAAGAGGTCCATGATACATGCCCATAAACCAAGACTTCCTGGGAGACATGAAAAAAGGGAACAACTCACATTAATGATTATCAGCAGTACAGAAATGGTATATATTTTCTTTTGCAATTTTAAAAGTAAAATGTACATTTATTTGAGTGTTTCTTTCCTCTTTTTCAATTTTTTATTCAAATCCTAAAATGACCTAAGGAACTAGAATTACGTATATCAAGCGAATAAGACAAAAATTTAATTAAAGACAGACTTTTTAAAGCTTTGAAAATAATTTTAAGGATTATTACTCATTTGGATAAGCTTGTGAGGAAGATAATTGCAAATCCTCTGGAGATTTTTCAATAAAAGATGAATTCTCATTGTTGAGGGACGAGATCTATATGGACTTCTTTTAAGTCTATTACCTTAAAGATGATGGATTCTCAAGAATCACCATGTGATACCGTGTTTCTATGGCTTCCGCCCCAGCACCACCACGTTTTCAATAATCATTTCAAAACCTCAATAACAACATGTTATTAGAAAATGTTGGAAAATTAATACAAACCTTCAAAGGAGAAATTGAGTTCTTACCAAAAAAGAAATAATCATCCTTATCATGAAGCAAATGTAAGTTTTATGATTAGGACACAAAGAAATGTTTGTCATTGTTAGATAGTTTTTTTTCTTCCTCTAATGACAGGCTGTGTGGTGTAGGAAATAAGAGAAAACTACCAAGGGCATTATTAGTATTATTGAAATAAAAATGCAAGATAGATTTTCAACTTATTTAATTAAATTAAATTGGTGAAGCTTCATTTTTCTCTACAAGAGGCTGATTTCAAATCAGTGCATTTTCTAAGACATTTGAACAGTAAACAATATGTTAAATGAGCCTAAAATATGGTTTGGCTCCAGGGGCAGCCAGTGTAACTAAATGATTACTGTGTACCTTGGTTAAAATTTATGCTACAATGTCACATACATTTGAAAAATATATTGGATATGTCTTGTCTTTCAGGGGATCTTGAAGGAAGAGTGAAGTGGCTTGACAATTTCCAAAAATTTAGACATCTACAGGAGATTATAGTGTGGCCTCCACTTTGGGATAGAGATAAAAGATTTTTCATTCCAGAGGTACAAAGAGAATCAATTAGGACTTATATGCTCTCCCTTTCCAGAAGTTTAGCATTCAGGTAGAAATTCAATAGTTTTAGAGAGTCCCCACCTCTGCTTGAA